GTGATGAACTTTCGGAGGTGCAAGTAGAAAATCTTATTCTTCCATTAGTTGCAAATGCACTTTACCTTAATTAAGAATCTTACTTTGAAAGTCAGTTGCCGGAGGACTTAATATCGCAAATTAAAAAGTTGCGAAAGCAGCTAATATCCGTAATCAAATTTTTATCGCGAGAAGAGATCAACTTCAAGCTTCCGGCAGAGATTTACAGGTGAAAAGAATGACGATAGCCAACGTGCCCTGTATAATAATTCTTTCATCCCCGTTGTCGTCGGTCTCTAGAAACGCCCGGTATCCGCGTTGGTAGACAAAATATATACGTTCGCGATTATACGCACTAACAACAGAACGGATGACAAAGGGGGTGGGTAGAACGAACAGGGGCTATTCTTCTGCATTGATTAATGCGCCCCGTGGAGTTCGAAACAGTTCGCGACCCTTCCTTTCTCTCTTCATTGCTCTCGCTCTCACTAGACAAGCCGACTCGCATTCGCGACGAGACTCATCTCCGATTTTATGCCTCGTTTGAGGGCACGTCCCAACAGCCCTTCCCCCAAGACACCCTCGACGACGCGGCAACGATTCCGACCCTCCGACGACAACGACGACGACGACAACGACGACGACAACGATGGAGCGGTACGAAAATCACAGACCACGAGATTCGCCGTGCGGAGAACGGTCTATTTGGTATTTAAATAAGCGTACGCGGAGTGTGCACCCGCGCAGTCATCACTCAGGGAACCGTACGGGTCTATAAGTCGAACCGATGTCTTTTTTTAGAGAGAAAGTTTATAGGGAAAGGAAAGGGTGTACGTAACATTGCAAAGGTTACGATCGATCGAGGCCGCTCAAGGCTGCCGAAGAGATTTTCTGTTTTACGGCAACGACAGGGGAACCCTTTCCAAAGGTATTTTGGCGAAAGTATATTGGAATAAGGCGAGAACATCTTTATGTACGAAGGGTATCTCCCACAAGTTCTCAAGCGAAGTCGTTTTGGCAGAAAAATTGTCCTTGAACCGACCGTTAAAAATTCCATTGTACTGATATACTAAAATTCTCCCTTATACTGATAATCCAACAATATATCCATCCTTAACTATGAGCAATTTTCATAATGTAATATTCGATAATGAGACATTCTGCACATATTGAATATTTCTAACTAGTTTGCTCATTAGTTCTTTTAACTATGCATGAAAATAAGCATTCAAATTAAGTACACTGTAAAAAATAGCAATGCGAACTTAACACCATGCAGTGTCTCTATCATTCTCACCGTGTTGATGCTAAATTAACACCAACATAGTATGGATTTAACACCATTTGAAGTCTACACGTCCATGGCGTTAAATCCACACCATGATGATGATATAGATCCACAGAGATTTTAAATCCACACCATGTTAGTGTTAATTTAATACCAACATGATGAGAATTATATAGACATCGCATTAAATCGACATCGGCATTTTTTTAGAGTGTACACTCTAAAAAATATAGGTGTGGATTTAACATCTCATGCCAGTGTTTATATAATTCTCATTACGTTGATGTTGATACAAACACCAAGATGATATGAATTTAAAACCATAGGTGTGGATTTAACATCCCAGTATAAAAGATATTTAACCGATTTAACATTAATATATGTGTTAAGAATTTATCAGATGTATTATAATTCTTTTCATTCTGTTAAAAAATACGTGTAATATATCCTAAAATTCACATATTGTTTATCAACACCAACACGATAAGAATTCATGCTAAATCTACCCCCATATTTTTTGAAATATAACAATTTTATACTTTATAAGCGTTATAAGCATTGTTAGAGAACGAAAACAGCTTATTCGCCGTCATCTCATCTCCCTTAACCTCATGATGTCGCTTTAAACAATATTCATCATGTCTTAATCCATAGGTATCTCGGACAACGCGAGCCCTTGAAACAAAGTTGCCCAGCAAGAACTCCAGAGGCACAATAACATGCTCCCGTATTAAACGCGGCTAAAGTATGAGGGCATCAACTCCGCGCTCTCCGCAAGCTTCATATACCTCAACGTGTATACGTATCATTCCGTGGAAAGTTTCGAGATCAGGGGGGAAGGAGGGAAGGAAGGAAGAATAAGACGTACACTTGTATCTGCTCGCCGAATTCCTGCTTCCGACGAGCGGACATTTATCTCGCTGTATTCGAGCGCTCGTGAGCATTGAGCCAAGAATTTCCCCGTTTCTTTTGCAACTTCCATCATAAATTCATAATTAATTCAACCAACAATAACGAGCAAAATGTATACTTATATTCCACTCTCCGACCATCCATTCGGGGGAAGAGGAAACTCAGAGCGATGGTAATATCTGTCGCACCGCCTTATGACGCGCTGTGCCAGTTCTATAGACAAGCGAGGAAAATTATAGGTCTGTTATTGTGTATTTTCCTCCCCGGCTTTTCATACTTGATTATTTATTTACGCAGAGCGACACTCGATTCCGTGAACCGATCGAATTTTTCTCGAAAAAGCGGTTCTCTTATTATCTCAGCATCAGCTACGTTAGCTTTTTAAGTGATATGGGTATAATCAATCGTAATGAGACTAATATATTCAATATTGCTATTTTAAAAAATAATAATCATAAATTAAACAAAAAGATGGAAATCTTTGATCCTAGTATTAATTTTTAATGTCATTTAAAATTAATAATTTTATTATATTGTTTTAATGCAGCAGATGAAAATTGAAAAATAAAGTCGAAATTTGTACTGCTTATTAAAGATTTTCAAATTTTTTAGAATACTAACATCTTTTATAAGATTTTGGCCTTTGTTTATTGAATTTTAATTTTTGTGGATATTATTATAATGAGCTGGATTTAAAATATTAAACAAAAATATTATTAAAGTTAAACCGGGAAATTAATAATTTAAGCTAAGATTTTTTTCTATTAACAAAATGTTTCGAAAATAAAAATATACGTCAAATTATCATAATACGCGTTATAAACTAATAGGACTGCCGTCGACTATAAAATCAAAATTCTTTTATAACATTGTTATACGTATAATTTTTAATTTATGCAAAAATTAAATCCTCTCTCGAAATTTGAAATATTAACACAGAAACCAGTGATTTATACTAGTTAATCCAAATTTTACTGGAATTATGTTTTCAAGTTAAACGCTCACTTTTATTAAAAATGGAGATGAAATTCAACATTAACAATAAAATGAAAAAGTAATTCAAAAATAAATGAAATACTGTCTGGAATTATAGCATTAAAAAAGAGAGCAGTACAATGATAATGGTCACAATCCGTTTTTGTCATTTAATACGCTATAAACATTGAACAAAGCACTGCCTGTTAAAGGGTTAATACGGTCGACGAATCATCTTTAAGAATCTAAAGAGACTCTCCGAAATTTATATTAGAGACAGTCGCGTCGGTCGTCGTCTGGTATGTCGGGAGCATAAATTATACCAGAATGGAGAATGTGCCCGCACAAGTTCTCTCGTTTGACGACTGCTCGTTTTGTTCGTTTCGTCGGCATATTTCTAACATTAGAGCCCTTTAAAGACGATTAATTTTTCGACAATGAAAATAAATGTTTCCGCACAGTATCTACGGTTTTCATTAATACATCAAAGAATTCAAATTTTAAACCACACATCATAGAGATGTTGAACTAAGCAAGAACGTTTTCGAGAAGACACATATTTCATCTTTATGATATCGCGAATAGTAAAATACATATAAGGAATACAAGAGATATGTAAAATTTCGAGGTTGTTCAATGTTAAACGTTACGATTAATTACATTTATTTTGAAACTGAAAAGCAGGCTTAAGCTCATATGTAATAAACAACGATATTGCGTGACCGATGTTGCGGATTAAAAGCGCAAATTTGGAAGAGGTATATATGAATATAAAAATATATTTGCGAGTTTAATAGCAAAAGAATAATGTTTGTAGTTAATAATTATTAATTTCAACAATATATGTTTGTTAACGTTGTCACAATTTTCATAGATTGCTAAAAATTAAAAGTACCAAAATAATGAATATACTAAAAACATTTCGCAGTGTGTGCGTTAAAACATATTACAAAAGTACAGTTTATTAAAAAGAAAAAAAAATGCGATTCACAAATGATTCAAATTCTACTACTGCACTCATAAAAGAAGTGTTTAATTTTAAGATATTAAAATGTTTTATTCTTTCTCCATTTTGTAAACATTTTAAGATTAAGTTTCAGGGTTTTAAACTTTTTCATGAAACAAAACTACGTTGTGTCTGGATTTAAACTACTAAAAGTTTACAAATAAAATATCTTTCATTATTAAACGTTTGTTTTGCAAAAAGATATTTTAATGTAAACGTAAAAAAAGCTATACTTTTTACATTATCCAAGACAGTTAATTATTCAAGATAATTATAAAATTATTTCTTTTATTATAATTATCTTGGATAATAATAGTAACTATCTTGTTTTATAATAACAAAACAAACTAATATTAATATTACGTTCTCCGTCTTGTCGTTGAACGTAACTTTGAAATTAATTTTCTTCTAAAACTAGCAATTCTTTAACTGTTACAGCCGATATAATGTCAACAGAACATTAACAATGGAGTAATTCGAGGGGAGATTACGGCGAGAAGTTAATTAGCACGATCGACTCGCGTCGCTAATTGTAAGTACCACCGCGATCATGGACGGTATCGAGCACGCGACGTTCACGCAAATACCTCGCGATTTAACGAATCTAACGAGAGTGCGGGTAAGCGAGCGTTGCAATGAAACCATGGTGTGTTAAATTAGCGATGTCGACAATTTGGTCAGCGGCTAGGCGTTTAATTTACAAGCGTAATAATTCAGACGTGTATCTCCGAGAATCAGTGACGAGAGAACTTGCTCCAGAATTCGACCGACGAATTCTGACGGCACGATGTAAAGAGATACTACTTATCTCTTAGAAAGAAGAAGACAATTGTTCCTTACTTGTACGACGAGACAACAGGAAAATCCTCGTAGGCGTGGAGAAAATTAGTTGTTGCGAACACCGACAGCGTTGCTTGTTCGTCACAGAATTACACTAAGAGTGCGGAGAACACCAACAGCGGAGAACAGACAGCGTCACGTGTCATTGAAAACCGCCACTTATACAAGTTCACACTGGTCGGTCGTACCGGCGATCCGGCAGAGATTCTCGTCGCGAGCGATCACTGTCCTTGTCCGAGGGGAAAAATACAACATCCAATCGTTTTCCAAGTTTTCGGACAAGTAGACGAGTACATACCGCTATCCTCTTTCCCGTGAGATGGCTTTCAGTTATGCCGCACACCTCGAGACGCCGTGAGAAGATACACCCGTCATCGAGAGCGTCGTCCTCGTGAACGCGCGCGGTTTTTCCGCGATGCTCTCGCGGAAGATGCCGCGCGTGGTTCCGCTTTCTCCAGACCGGGAGGAACGAGGAAGAAGACGGAGAACAAAAGGAAATCTACGCGTTCGCGAGAGAGAGGGAGAGAGAGAGAGAGGAACGACCGACGCGGCGACGACGACGGCGGCGGCGGCGGCGGCGGCGGCGACGTCGACGACGACGACGACGACGGTCGCGTGGTATCGATTCGTGGCCGTGGAAAGCCGGCGGCGAGGCGGCTCAGAGAGAGCTTTTTCTTCGCTTTCTCTCCCTCCCTCCCCCGTATATCCTCCTCTCCCTGTCCTCCGCGAGCGACACGTTTAAATATCCGTCTGCGTTTCAAGTGGACGAACGCGTGCTCCGTTTTCCGTCCAAAAGGGGAGAGGGTAGCCTCGTGTACCGCGTGTACCACGAGACTGTTTCGGAGAGTAAACGACTCCTACTCCCTCCTCTCACCCTTCCCTGTGCGTTACGTTTATGCGTATGTGCGGGCACACAAGTCGGCGTACAACTGACTCGGAGGTATACGAATACGGGCACGAACGGGGAGCGAGGACGATGTCACACAACGTGCGTACGATTGGTGTGTGTACGTAACACGGAAGACGAACGCGTCTCGCTCGAACGTCCGGGTCGGACTGAGCGGTGGGGCGTTCGACAGGCCCGCGTAGTCGCTCGAGGTACCGTCTCCCCCCACCCGGAGGAGCCACGCTTCGGCTTTCCCACCCTTGTCACGCGACCTACCCCCCCCTCTCCTTACGGCGCCGCGTCGTTCGTTCTTCTACCCTATCGCGTCCAGTGCCGTATTCCGGAATCTTCGGATCCCATCAACTAACATCTCTTGACACAATCATTTGCACACACACATTCTTTCACCTCAAATTGCAATTTATACATAAAATAATGTATTAATAATATCAGCTGACAGCAGTCTGATTAAAAATTCGAATCCTGGTTGAGGCAATATTTTAATAAAATTATTCGCAGATTTAAAATTTCTCATATCTAATTAATATCCTTACAAAAATGCTTATTAGCATCAAAAATTATTAAATTGCTTGTCGATTTAATAAATGATATTGTACTACTCTGATATTCTGTTCATGATTGTATTTCAACACTGAAAATAATTTTGGTGCGCAGTTTGCAGAATCAAATATGTATATAATTTTGTACAGAAATATTTAAGCACTGAGATCCACTTTGATACCGAATATAGAAATATAGCTCGTATTTAATTAGACTAATTAAAAATAATTTATAGAAGAGACTGGGGTTGATGTCATACAAGAAGTAAATATTAATTATCAAGAATTATCAAGAAGTTAATAATTCAATCAGTATATTGGATAGTATTTTCTCCTTTATTTATTTATGATGCATACATCATTTAGTTGAGCATTGTTGCAACGTAGTTAAATACGTAGTTGTAAATGTTTTTTTTTTACTAAAAATGGCCATAAAGAGTAAATTGACTAAAATAAGTCAACTTAATCTCTTTAAATCGATACGTTTTCAGAGAATATATTTACAATATAATATTTCGTATAAACATGTTTTTCGTATAGAAACTATAGTACGAAAACAAATTACGTTTTCGTAATTAAAATATCTATTTTTATTTATATCAATACTATTATTACTTTATTTCTTTATAATTACTATCATTTCCTGAAATATAGAACATTAAAATAAAAATTGTATTATTTGTATGTTTTATCCATAAAAAAATGTTACTGCTAAGTCTAGAATGATAATCAACTCTGAGGCTAAGGCTAATTATCACATTATCGTATCTTCATTTAAAATTAAATAATTACTTATTTGTATGATATATGATGATACATGATATATGATTAAGATGTTCAAGAGTAATACTTTTTAATATCTAAGGAACGTAGATATATTATAACGTATATAATGTTTTAAAATCCTACATTCACCTTTTTTTTCTCAGTGATAGTAGTAGTAAGTACTCAAAAATTGTGACAACCGGCCCCGATCTCTCCTATTCGATGTAACAATTTTAATGAAACAATTAATAATATTTTATTACAACAAAGCATGTCATATTTGTTTCATTAATACTGTCAAAATATCCAAACAAATACGCAATGGTCTCGTTTTAATAAAATGTTATTTGTTTCATTAATATTGTCATTAAATTAATAATTATTTTCAATTAAATTGCTGTTGGCTAATGCTGTAGATATCGTTTTTTTCTATGCAAATATCAAACGAGAAAAGAAAGAACTGATAATGATAAATTTTTTTAATAATCCATGTATTGTGAAAAATATGTACAATCTTGCCATAGAAAATTATATTTTAAATGTTAAGCTCGATGTTTAAAAACATTTAATAGGACATTGATATAGATCTTATCAAAACATGTTTAAAAACATTTTATATATTAAACAAAATAAAAAACGCTCATTAATCGCAAAGAAATAATATAGCCTAAACGGACCAAATACGAGCAAATTTAGGTGTTAATATATTTAAAATAGTATTTAATAATTTAATGAGATCGTATATTATATTATTAAATGCTATTTTAAATATATTAACACCTGCTCATATTTGGTCGGTTTAGTCTATAATATTATCCTATATATTTATACAATATTATGCTCGAATTTTTAACACAACTTATTAATTAAATAAAATAAGAAATTTAAATAATTAAAAATTTAAGCATAACTTTTTGATGGTGTATATTTTATGATTGATTTAGAAGATGAGAAACAAAAGAAAGAAAAATGTAACTTGTCGCACATAATTTGTATGTACGATATAAACATTTATAAATGAAGATCTTCACGACAAACTTCCATTTTTTGGAAATATTCTTAATATTTTTCTTCAAAATTTAGAAAAAAATTAATTAAATTGATATATTATAATACTAGCTCCTTTTTAAAGAGAAATATAACGCAAAACGGTACAAACATTTTAAACAGTAAATATTATTTCCTATTAATCGCTATTTCTATGAATAGGAGATTCTATCATGCGTTTGTTATGTTTATGAAATCGGCGGAAATAGATAAATAATATTGTTAATCGATAACATGCGCGATAAAAGCTGTTGCGTAAGCATGAGAGTACTTGCGCATACATTTACGCATTACATTACTACCTCTATTTACCATGTTAAATTACCTCTCATGAAAGTTTATCCATCCGCGGGATGAAAATTTTAATAGATGGTTTTTAACATTTTTATTTAATTATTCATTTTTCATTTTTGCTAATCGCTAAATTGCTTCAGAAATATATTTCTAAAAGATAGACGAAAAAAATTGCATGAAAAAATAATTTTGTAATTTCCAACAAGATTTTTCAATATTACTGCATATATCTGATACAAATATCAAGAAATATTTATTTAATTATTTGATATAAACATCATATGACCACGCTATGAAACTACATCGTAGTTATGAATGTTATTTTGTTATTTGTTATTGAGTAATCGCTACCAAGAAATAATTTTAAGAACCGTTATTTGAAAAATAATCAATTCACAGATTATTTTCATCAATTCTAAAAGAGCACTAATATTTAAGCTGCCAATCAACTGTTTATAATAATTATTTAATTGTTCGCAATTTAACGTGCTCGCTGCATTGTTCAGAAATAAACACTCTAATCAATATATAATATATTTACTTTTAAATGTTTGGTAAATCTAAATTAATATTAACCACGCAAAGGCAATAACTATTAAACGCTTAATGATTATATTATCTCGAATTGATACATTCTTCTGTATCTAACTGGTCCAATAATAATCATTCAAAGACCTAAAAGAATATTCCAATCACAGACGATAAATTTTCAACAGTTGCAAAATTACTGTTTTTTGTTTTTACCGATATTTCAAGACCAAATAATTATTCATAAGAGAAATAACCATTAATTAATCGAATAATAATCAATTAAATTGTTTTCTAATAGTATTGTAATAAATTGTAGTACCCACTTAACCGAATAATTTTTTAAATAACAAATTATTTTAAAGTAATGCAGTTACTATTATAACCGTTTAGTAAAAATAGTTGTTTTACCCATCACAATATGTAATTACAAAGCATCTTTTACGATAACAAATTTATAAGAATTTATAAAAATATATTCATTATAAAAAAGATATTTATTTATTATAAAAAAGATATTTTTTTAAATAATTAATTACAGAATTTAAATTATTTTTTTGAATATTATTTTAATTTTATTATAAAATTTTGAGCTTCTTGTAACATAACATCGTTTTGAAATTTATATTCTTTTGTAATACATTTAAAATATATTGTACTACAAAAGAATATAAATTTTTTTTAATGGATACCATTCTACATTTTACAAAATTAAATTTGACCTCAGAGCTACAAAAATCGTGAGTTAAGAAAATTAGGTACACTGATACAAAATGATGTTATGTTACGAGAAGTTCAAAATTTTCGGTACATTGTATAAATAGGATTCTATTATAAATGTCAGACATAAATGTATTATATGTTATTACATTCGCTTTTGGTTTTTTCCGATGCTCGTCTCGCGAGAAAGAGAATTATTAACGTCCGATATGGAAAAGATATCGAGATAACTCAAAAACATCCCTTTCCCTGGCGCTCGAAAACGCTTACCCTCCCACTCCGCAAAACTGCAGTCCATTCTCGGCATACCTGATCGCACCGGGCAATCTCTGGCTTTTTCGGGCCAGGTATGCTTTGCCACGATTTCGTAAAGCCTTCGAAGGGCATGTCTCGAATGCTGTCGACCGCATCCTCGAACAGCAACAAGAAAGACTAAAAATCATCCGTCTGTTGCTAACATCTATCCTTGGTATTTTGTAAGAAAATTCTTAGAATCAAATTGCACTGTTGCAACAAGCAACGAAAGATATTGAGGAATGTGTACAGAATATTTTACAAGTTGCGTTTTCCAGTGAGTCTGTTTGCTCTCGCACAGCAAACACGTATTAATAATATTAATATGATTTCAATATTGTATAACTGTGCTTATTTAATAATTATACATCAGTATGTATTTAATAATTATTTACCAGTTATAATCGAATTCTCCTTTTACTTGTTAATTTTAAGTTCCGATTTTTATAAATAAT